AAAAAAAAAAGAGAAACCAGTAACTTACATTTGGACATATGTACAAGATAAGCACTTTAACAGTTATCACATAAACAGCTATCCACAATCTTCATCATTAATGCAAAAAAGCTTTAAATTAGTCTTTTTACCTTTTATTTCCAATAAGCATAATGACCATGTTGGAATTGGAATGCTGGCGGGCATCTTCTAACCAGGTTGTCAAGTGGTTGAATGTATCTCTCCTAAACATAAATCACAATTTGATTGCTATTTTCAAAGTATTTCCCCTAGTAGTATACAATAAACAGTATACATTCCATTAAAGATAACTATTTTTAGCCACTTAGGTAATGACAAATAGATTTCAAGTACAGTATCTGGATTTAGAGTTCACTGATTACAGCTCAGTTTAGAAATTAAATATAGCCTCACTTGAGAAAATTCCAATGTATAAATAATATTACCAAATCGATCAACTTAGGGCTTATTCATATAAGAAAATAATTTAGTTGCAGGCTTCTGTGGTAAGTTTAAACTTAATTCAAGACACAAGTTTTAAAGGCAAATAGGCATAAAGGCAAAGCTATACTTTTATTACTGGTAACCACATTTATTTAGAAAAATTCTCTGCATTGACCACTGAACTGAAAAATTTCTAAGTTCTCACCTTGTAATATCATACACTAGTAAAGCCCCTGCTGCACCTCTGTAATATGACCTTGTGATGGAACGAAAGGACTCCTGCCCTGCCTGTGAAGAAAGCAAAGGTTGAGAGTTTCCTTTAATCCACTGTCCTCTACATTTTCTTAGTATTCATATGCAGAAAATGGGCAGGTAGGGAATGAGTACTTAAAGGAAAAGAAGAAAACCTAACTTCAGCAGTCTTAGGAAAAAATCACATAATACCACTACTGCTAAGTCAACCAGACACACTTACAATCCGTCCCCATCACCCCCCACAAACAAGACCTCTAAACCTTTTTTGGCAATCCCTGACAACCCAATTTACTGAACGGCTTCACAATACATGAATCATTATTAGAACACAGAATGGACTCCTAGCAACTAAGCTCTGAAGACAAATTTGAAAGGAAGCAAATAACCCAGAGCCTCACATTTGAATGCAATAACCCACTCCCTGGGGCAGCTGTTGACACTCAAATAAATAAAGTCCATTGTAAATAAATGATGAATGACATCTTTACGCCCACCATCTGCTGGTGTAAAGGTTGTTGGAAGGCCAAGGATGCAGATTTTATCAGTTATATCATAAACTGCAGTGAGCTTTCAACAGTCATCAGATGGAATTCTCTGAGCAATCATTTTATTATGAAAAACAGAAAATGGTTCTGAATTTATATAATTTTTTCTCCACACAATCAATTTTCTCTGTATTTGATATATAATGCTTGTCAAAAGGCAATAGGATGTAAAGTTATCTTTATATCCACTTGTGAAAACAGAATTCAGAGATTATGCAACAGTAGTTAACTTCTCTCTTTTACTTTTACTAACGTTCTATTTTTTAAGAAAGGTTGGTGAGCGATATGCCTATAATTGAGACAGTTCTTATCAAAAATATTTTTTTCATTTTTAATCACTTATTTTCTACCTTTGAGAAAAAATAAGCATGTAAATTAAGTAAACATAAAGCCAGTTTTCACAATTTTTGTATTCAAAATCTACTAACTTCTTGAAAAATACTCATGTTTGTATGTTCTGAGTTCTGATCTTCCAATGTAAATATTAAACCCTTCCCACCCTCAGAATGCACACAGACAGCTCAGGTTCTGCCCTGTTCTAAGACGCAACACTCTATAATTCCTTGTTCCTGTTGGCGCTCCCACTATACCCCCTCCCTCCCATGCTCCCCCTGCCCAGTGCCTAGCACTGCGTGTGGCACACAGTACGCACGTAGAGAAAGCCTGTTGAGTGAAAGAATGAATCCTAATATCTTAGTCAAATGTACAAAATGGTCATTACCCTATCCCATCTAAATGAGTGGACATCAGTAAATCCTAACCTGCTAAGATTTAGTAAAAATAACTTCTCCTAAGTGGAAACTAAAGATCAGACCTACTCTTGGTAACTCACAAGCAATTCTGGCACTTAGAATAACGTCTTATGCTAAACTAGATACCGAGAAAGTCATGACATAAAAGGGCTGTAAAAATAGCCAACTCATTTCACACAGTTTGAGGTTAAAACCTAAATGATACTAGTTGGAGGCATGAAATTAAAATTATTTTTATATAATTTATTGAGACATCTTTCAAAAAAGGGGCTTTCAAACCCAAGTTCAAAATGCAAACATTATGGGAATTTCTTTTTTAATTGCTTAGCAAGGAAAACTAAGGACTACATTTTTAAGACACCCATTTCACTTTGAATTATATATACCAAGGTAAGATTCTGTGGTAAATAATACAAAAAAGATAAATATTATATTAGTTCAAAATAAAAATCAGGTTTAGAGCTCTTGTATCTCCCATGCCTAAATATCCAGCAAAGGTTAACAGTCCTTTAAAACAATCTTGCCAGGACATTCTGTAGGATGAGTTAAAATGAATACATTTGCTAGAAGAACACCACTATAAGATCTAAAACTTCGGTGTTTACAGCCCAGATAAGAAATAGTAAAAGGGAAAATAAACTGAGAAAAAGGAGAAAAGCACGCATCTACATACCATTCCCATTCCTTCCGAATTGATTTACAAAGAACAAACACGTTGTAATATGGAGATAACGTACATAATGCATCACTTTATACTGAACTCACTGAATCTGGATTTTGCCCATCATTACAAAATCAAACAAAAATTCAAGCAAATAAAAAAACCACACATTCCAAGTGAGGAATATGAATGCAGCTATCCATCTTAAAATCTATGATTACTTTATAATAAGCAAAGATCAGCATTCAGGATAGTTGCCATATTCTTGAGACCTGACTTGTAGGAAAAACATCCCTCACGCTGGCCTAGTCTCTTTGTTAATGGCACTGGTAGCCTTAAAATAAATCTTGCCCAATAAAGTGTTTTATTACAGGTTCTCCGACTATAAACAAACTGTTAAACAACACTAACTGCATAAAGCTAGACCAATGGTTAATTATCTTGATCATACTAAAGCAAAGTAATCTAGTTTTTAAAAAGCACTTTAATATAAACCTCTCCAAACTGTGACTGATCTATATTGTTTTAAATGAAAAGAAATGTCAACTTAGGAAATACAGATGTTATTTTTGATCCTCTTCACTATAAGGTGCTGGCTTAAAGAGATTTTAGAAGCTTGAAACTGAACAAGATATAGAATTCTTTGTAGTACGGCATTCCTAATAGTAGCTGAGGGTGTAAAGAAAAATGCATTTAATGAAACGAGAATGACTGGCTAAGCGAACAGCACAAGAAAAACCTGTTTAGGGGAGGCTAGAGTGGACCATGAACTTATTCGCTCACGATATAGCTTTTTGATTTCTGTAAAAAATCAGCAAGATACCCAGATATGCAAAAAAGTAGAACAGAGTAAGCAGGTCTCAAGAGGTAATGGGCATACTCATTTTTAGTGATGCTTAGAATTAAAACAAGAATCATAGAACATCTGTGAAAAAGAAACCTTACAGACCCTCAATTTCCATGTGAAGATTGCTAAACCAAATAAACACTCCACACTTTAAAACTTACTTCCAATTGCCAGACAAAGATTGCTCCAAATTGGCTTCCCCAGGTGCCTGAGTCTTTCTAAAGATAATTATTGTAGTTACCAGGCTGGCAACTTAATTCCTCTTCCCCTCCTGTTACCCTCATAACATAAAACTTTACACACACTAAGCTACTCTCAAAATTCTCTAAATATCCTGATTTTAAGTCCTAAGCTCTTGGGAATCTGATGTCTATTTGTTACTCTAGAATTTTACCTTCTTATTCAATGGAAGTCTTGTTCACACAGCCAATTTTTTTCCTACTGATATCCCGCCTATATTTTGAATATTCCTGCTTTTGTGCCTCTGTTTAATTCTTTGCCTGAAAAATTACTTTCTCCTCCCTCCACCTAGCCAATTTCAGAGCCAATTTCCCTCTGAGGACCAGTTCAAGCCCCCTAAATCTCTCACAAAGCAAGGAAGCTTGTCTACCACAGCCCCTACTTATCCTTTTCTCTTCAAAGATCCAAAAGCACTTTCATGTGATCATTTGGTTCTAATACTATTGATCAGATAAATGAACACACTGCTCAAATGCTTATCTTTTTTCCTTTTCAGTTCTCCTTGAGGGATAGCCTCAGAATACTAAAGTATATTGATAGTAGGCACTCAAATGTTATCTTGATTGATCCCAAAGAACCAATAAAGTTAGAAAACTAAGATTTGTGAGAATCAATACTACAGCAATACCTCTTACTTTCATTGTTAGTCATTTATGTAACAACTTCAGCTAAATAAAACCCAGCCAAGAACCAAAGAAAAAGAAAAACAGGATTTCTAAGTAGCCAAGTAAGTTGTCCAGTGTGAAATCTTAAGTCCTTTACTAAACAGACTCAACTTAAAAATCTTATGATCAAGGAACTGCTATCATCGAGGAAAAAGATTTTGAAATCTACATGTGTGAACAAGACTTCTGTTTTGGATGACAGTGAGATTAGTAAGAATCAAAGTGAGTTTTAGGCTGTCTCAGTGTCCACGACAAGGATGGAGAAAAAGTCAATCTAGGCTATTTAATTCTAGGCCTTTTAAGGGAGTCTTCTCTAGAAACCAAAGTAGATCCTGAGAAGAAAAACAAGTGTTGTAAATATCTAGAAAGAACAGCAGATACTGAATGCTTTAAAAAATTTAAGAATATTTATCCTGAAAAAAAGATTTAAAGGGATGCAATCAACGACTTCAGATTCTTTTAACACTGCCATATAAGAGAAATTAAAGACAAGTGGGAGGGATACATCAAGCAGAATGAAATATCTAAGATAGTTTAATAATAATATTTCTAGAGAAATTGAGCAGATACATGGGAGAGAATAAAATTTATTTGGATATGCTGGGAAGGCAACTGAAAAACTGACAAAAAGCAAAAGATGAGTAAGAATAGAAAAAGGTGGGTAAAAGCTGGATGAGGGTCTGAGAGGGAGAATGTACTTCCTATGCCCTTCTTCCATTAGTCAGTGAATAGGAACTGGGTGTAACTTATGTTTCTTATTTGACTTATCCTGACAGTGACCAAGAATATCACATATTTGACTTCTAATAAAAGAAAAAAAGTTACACAGGATCAAGGGAAAGTGCTTTGAGGGAGGCACCGAGATAGTGTTATCACTGCTTCCAGCAAAGCCTCCAGGGAGCATCTGCTGGCAGCTATACTTTCGTCATTAGTGCCGTGGAGTGGATTCTGACTCCTAGTGCCCCTGTGTACGGCAGAGCAGAACGCTGCTCTGTCTTTTTACGCCTTCCTCTCACCTTCCAGCGCTATATCAGATAATGCTTCGCTGCTATTCATAGGGTTTTCATGGCCACTTTCTTCAGGAGTGGGTGGCCAGGTCCTTCTTCCTAGTCTGTCTTAGTCTGGAAGCTCCGCTGAAACCTGTCCACCATGGATGACTCTGTTGGTATTTGAAATAACGGTGGCAAAGCTTTCAGCAACACACAGCTGCCACAGTATGACAACTGACAGACAAGGCTGTGGTTCCCCAACCAGGAAACAAACCCAGGCTGCTGCAGTGAGGGCACTGAATCTTAACCACTGGGCCACCAGGGCTGGCCATACTTACTATTTTCAAAAGAAAGCAAAGATGGTGAATGTGGAAATTTTGCAAGGAAAACTCCTTATTTTTTATTTTTTTTGTACGACTGGAAATGGATATACAATAGATGACAAATATCCTAAGACACTGAGACTTAGTCATTGCAGAAAAAAAATTCATTTCTTTAAGGCTGATGAAACAAACCTTAACATTTGGCAAATTTTTACCTGAAGGATGGTTTTACAAATGTCTTGAACCAGGAATAGCCATGACCCTTGTTACTAAAAATGGGGCTTGCTATCCAAACGTACAGACACACTGCAAAACATTAACGATATGGGACACCATGTTTCACTCAGGTGTTTCACTCAGATATAAACTAAGTGTGGAACTAACCTTAATATATGTCAGATACCTACTAAAGAGTTTTGGAGTTAGGTATGAAAGTAAGTAGAAAACCAATGATAGTAAGAGGAAAACCTATAAGGCAGGGAGACTCAAGAAATAACTTTCAAAAGTACTAAGGTAACAGACTTTTTTGAATATTCCTTAAAATCTGGAGCAGGCCATTGGTTCCTAGTATCCTCCATGTGGAAGCTCTGCAGTTCTTTTGGGGGGTCATAATATCTTCAAAGGCTCATAATATCTTAAAAGTCTCTCCCGTTTTAGATACAGAGGAAAGAAAACTAGCCCTCTGCCCTTCCAGAGGAAGTGTGAACAAGATTTTTTTCTATTTCCCTTTCAATATGGTCCAGCATAAGTAATTATTATATATTTCTTTCAAAAGATCACTGCAGTGCAAAACTCACAAACTAAGAAAAAAAAGGCTCTTATCAAAAGAAGGCATGACTAGTTAACCCACAAAGGAAACAACTGGGGAATGAATGACTTGTCCAAATTTCACAAAGTGGGGGGGATTATTTAAAGGAGCACCTTAAGGAGAGAAAAACTGAATAAACTAAATTACAACAAGGTGGTTTGTGCCTAAATAAATCACATAATTTTCATTACTATATTGATCTTTCCTCTTGAAACCATGTACTTCAGTGGATGATGTCTCTTGAACACATCCAATGATCCTACAAGTTGTTTAGACAGAATGAGATGCCTTACTCATTCATTCAATAAAATTTACAAAAGACTCTACAGTCAGTAAACTAAGAATACAAGATACAAAGTTGAATAAGATACAGATGGTCCTTTTCCTCATGACGCTTACTCTGAGAAGGGTAGATATGTGAACAAAAACTCATATAACAACGGGATCAAAGCTATAAAAGAAATATGCATAAACTATTATGGGTAGGATCAGCTACCCCATTGGGGTCAGAGAGGCTCCACAAGAGTTGACATCTGTGCTGGTGTTAAATGAAAAAGGGGAAAAAAGTACTTAAAGCAAAGCAAGTATTTATGCAAAGTACAAGGTATGAAAAACATTTTTATTAAAGAATAGCAAATAATTTTGTTTACACTCCACTGCGCTGAAGGATGTGTTGCACAAGTTTATTAGCTAAGAAAGCAAGAGAAACTCTTTTAATACAGAAGTAGAAAATACTTCCTTTTGGTTGGAGATCATTAATTTTAAATCTCTAGGAAAAAAGTGACTTTGCATATTTTTCTCTTTTCCATGCAGTTTTGAAATCACGTTGCCTGAGAAAATATAAATCAAAAAAGTTATTAGATGCTACAGGCTCGGGGGGAAAACCCTAAGAAATAGTAAAAGCATAAATCTTCACTGAAAAAGATGAGATACTAAAGCACAAGAACCTGGAGTCCAATGTACACCTCCGGGACAGAGGAAAGAACAAGACAGAGATTTAGGGTTTTCCATTTCAGGGACGATTGTGTGATATACAGGAAGTATTAGGAAACCTAGGTCTCACGACAGCCTTCAGCAGCTTGCTTGGTCTTCTTGGGAATCCAGTTTGAGAGACTGAATATTCTCCAAGGTTCCTTACTTCAACAGATATTATAGGCGACAGATGAGAAACACTGAGTGACTAGAGAAAAAAAGACCAGGGGTATATGATGATAAAATTCCCTATCTTTTATATTTCATTTACTAGTTAATGCTCTTTGTCACAAAAGAAGACCTTCTGGTTTTTCTCAACTGGGTTTCTGTGAAGAATTAAGTCCTAATTGTCCTAAGGCAGTGGTTCTCAAAGTGTAATCCCAGGACCCCTAGGAGCTCCTGAGACTCTTTAATGGTCCATGAGGTCCTCTGTTTCCCAACTATCTGTGTGAGGTTGTATTTTCTTCATATACTTCAACTAAACAACACACATAAGACTCAATGCAGAACCAGATATGAGAATCCAGCTGTCTTCTGTTAAGCAGACAGTAATGAGATTTTTCAAAATCTAACAATATGACTTTCTTCTCACTAGAAAAATACAGTTTCTGGTTTTTGTTTTGGAAAAACATATTTAATTTCCATAAAAATTTACACTGTTTATCCTAACATATAATGAGTTTATTATGGTTATTTTTAAATGAATTAGTAATTGAATATTTAATAAGTTTTTCAGTTTTAATTTCTAATATGGTAAATATTGATAGTTATAAGCCACATAAACAAAGGCTCTTTGGAGTCCTCACTAATTTTTACAAGTATATAAAGGGATTCTGAGACCAAAAGGTTTGAGAACCGCTATCTTAAGGCATCCATTGTATGTAATAAAATAACTTCTCTTTTATGCATCTAAGATGGGAGAATAGAGAAAACAGTCTCTCAAATCATGTTCTGCGGTTCAGATGAGAAACTGCCATTAAAAACTATAAAGCATGGCATGTAACAGGCACTCAATGAACGTAAATGATAGAATTAGGATTGGGAGCAACGTGGCTTCAGGTGGTTGGGACTAACTCAAACTTTTTAAATAAATTAATAAGCCGTCAGATCAAGTGACTCTATGGTACTGACATTCGTATTTTACTTCACATGTGTACTTTACACATGCTGCTTGTTTTTCTTAAAAACATAGTTTCTTGAGCATTTCCGTTTAGAACACATAGCCTGAGCATTCACTCAGATATGTTCCATGAACACCCAACACCTGGGGTACACCTGTTGAAAACACTGCATAAGAAAAACTAATCTTTTTTGTTACCACATTTCATCTCATGGCTACAGGGGTGTCAATCTCTAACAAACCATTACAGGCATAAATAATATTAAAACAAAACAACCATACAATGTACTTTTATAAAACAACTTTATTGAGGTCATACAATGTATTTTTGCTATACTTACCGTATCCCATATCTGAAGTTTTATCTGTTTCCCATCAATAGTTATCATTCGAGCACCGAACTCTACACCTGAATAGAGTAGAAAATGATCTGTTACACAAACTAGTGGGAATATATTTCACATTTAAATATTAAGAAAAGGATGTCTATTTCCAGGACATCCAGGTGATATATATATCCAGGTGATAGACTGATGAACTTTAACAAATACAGCTCCTATCCTTAGAAAACGTATAAGCTAAGGCGGAGATGCTAATGAGACATAAGCTAAGGACATTATTAAAACACTAAGATACTCGAGTCTAGTATAATCAGGAAGCCAACTGTGGTCTTCACGTTTCACAGGCTCAGTAATATAAAAACAACTAGAAATTAGATTCAAGAATCATAATTATTAGTAACAAATATTAAAATTTCTTTAAAATTATTAATGTGGTATAAAAATTAGTAAAAGGAATAGATGAATTTCAACATCATAGTTTTGGTTCCCAGTATAGGTTATCAACTAGGAAAGAAATCTCCAAATCTGCCCACTAGAGATAACCACTGTTTAAACATACTTCCAGACACTGCTCCATGAATAAATACACACACAGAAATAAGTATACGATTTTACATAAATGGGAACAAATAAATGCTGTTCTTCAGGGCTGGCCCCGTGGCTTAGCGGTTAAGTGCGTGCACTCCACTACTGGCGGCCCGGGTTCAGATCCCAGGTGCGCACCGATGCACCGCTTCTCCGGCCATGCTGAGGCCGTGTCCCACATACAGCAACTAGAAGGATGTGCAACTATGACATACAAGTATCTACCGGGGCTTTGGGGAAAAAAAAAATGAGGAGGATTGGCAATAGATGTTAGCTCAGAGCTGGTCTTCCTCAGCAAAAAGAGGAGGATGAGCATGGATGTTAGCTCAGGGCTGATCTTCCTCACACACACACACACAAAATGCTGTTCTTCAATTTGCTTTTCAGTCAGTAATATGTCATAAGCCTTATTCCATATCACAAATATCTTTACAAATCAATAAATATATAAAACAGTGTCATTATTTTTGATGGCTGCATAATATTCCTGTGTGTGGACCACTTTACTTTAGTAAGTAAAGTGAACACTTTACTAAGTTGGTATACTATCACTACAAATTTAGGTCATTCTCAAATTTTCACTAAGTAGTTAATGTTGAAATGTACTTTCTGCATACATTTTTCAACTTATGAGTATGCTTTTAGGCAAATTATAGGAAATAGGGTTGCAGGTCAAAGGAAATACAAACTTTACACTTATAAGGTTACCACATTGGCTTTTTTCCTTGCATTTATCATCTCCTTTTGAAAGTACTCATTCAATCATCAAAATAGGAGGAGGAGAAAAAGAGGGGATAACTTCAGAACAGCAAACAGCTGTGAAGAAGACTCTGACAGAGTCTACCACTTATATTATACCAAATTATTACTGCTTGAAGTGTCTTCTATCAGTATTTAGATCAGAGTCAGGGTGAAGGGAAGACACACACGGTCCCCAGAAACCAGACGTCATCTTGGCAGAAAAACAGGTTCTAGTTGCCCAGGGAGGGGCAAACTGCCCAGTGTCACAATTACATTTCAGCAACTCTTACAATTCTCCCAACTGTGATTAGGAGGGTGAGATAGAAAGGTAATTTGTCTTCCCATGATATGTAACCTGATGGAGTTTTTACTTTACATTTTAATACTTGTTCCGTCCTAGGGGCATAGTCAATACCTAGAAACTAATGGTATGTTTCTCAGACTTAGAAATATAGGAAAGCTAGAGAAAAGAGACCCAGGAGTCATGATATACTAGAATAAAAAATGCAATATTATACAATTATGCCATACAAAACCACTACAGTGTTTACATATCTACCTACCTATCTGTCTACACACATATATTCATATACATTCTGTGCCATGGGGTGGAGAGACACACAAAACAACCATCCACCACCTTACCATTAATGATATGAAAATGAGGGTAGTTGAGGGGAGAAACCAATGGCTAAACATGGTATAAACGTTCTTTGAAATATCCGGGATATAAAAGGAATGTAATAAAGTACAAAATTCTGCATACCAGCAAGATATCTGACAAAGTGGAAGCCTTTTCATGAATTGTTTCTAGCCACAAGCTAGAGAGAAAAATCCTATTTTTCCTTCCATTGGGTTAAAAGCCCATGGGTGGGCTTTTAACCACAATCCAAAAGCATCTGCACTGCTTATTGGGATTCAATATTTCTTCAATCCAATGCATAATGTCAAATTTGACAAAAAATAACTACAAATTAGAAACAGACCCTTGACTGATAACCAAGGGTAGGCAGGCAAGGCAAGCAAGGGCAAGCAGATGCTCCTTCTCCAGAAGGAACTGGCATCTCGAGCAGAGGGATAAAGATACTAAAACTGAGCTGCAGCCATTCCGTCCCAGCAGACGAAAGGCTGACCATCTCTGCGGCAGGACTGCCCTGCTTCCTGGCTTCTATGATGCCTCACTCCTGCCCACTCCCAAGTCCAAGTGGCCACCCTCCGGTGTGTTCCAAATGAAACTGCAGATATTCTAATATATTCCCTTTTACTTAACTTAGCCATGACTGGGTTTTGGTGTATTTATCTTTTTATTCAAAGAGGTAGACAAAGGTTGCTGAAGCTTAAAGTCATTAAACAAAGATTCTGCCTCTAAAGTATTTCCATTTTTAAAGAAACGTTATATGAAAATCAGGATTGTTTGTACAGGAGAGAAATGTCATAATAAAATTGATGTTTTAACTTCATTTAGCAATAGGATCAGGATAGAGAATAAAAAAACAAGAGGCAAACAAACTAGTTAAAGGGCTACTGCATATCCAGGAATGAGACAAAGAAGGATGGTAGGAAGAAAAAAACACATCTCAAAAGGAAAAATTGAGGAGCAGGCCCAGTGGCGTGAGCGGTTAAGTGCGCGTGCTCCGCTGCTGCGGCCCGGGGTTCGCCAGTTCGGATCCCGGGCGCACACCGATGCACCGCTTGGCAAGCCATGCTGTGGTGGCGTCCCATATAAAGTGGAGGAAGATGGGCACGGATGTTAGCCCAGGGCCAGTCTTCCTCAGCAAAAAAAAAAGAGGAGGACTGGCAGATGTTAGCACAGGGCTGATCTCCTCACACAAAAAAATAAATAAATAAAAATTAAAAAAAAGGAAAAATTGACAAGCACTATTATTGATTACTACAAAACTATGATTTCTGTTTTCCTATCAAATGAAACAAAAACAGATAGATTTCAATTTCAGCTTCAGAAACATAACTCTTTCCCATTTACCTTCTCATAACTGGGTTCAATGCAGGTTTTACCTTTGTATTCTATGTGGCAAAAGAAAATACTGAAACCTGAAGTGTCTTAGAAGTCTCAGAAACATTAAAAAACCCCAAAACTTCAATTATATTCCGGATTTTTAAGAATTTTAAAACTTTTTCAAGTATGTATATGTGTGTATATATATATATTTTTATATATACATAAATGCTTGAGAATCCCTTTTAGAAAGGCTTCCTTATTTTTTTTTTTTATGGGATAAACCATCATCCCTGATGCCCTTGAGCTTCTCTTCCCAGATACATTTTCAATTAACAGCCAATTTGGCTGCCAAAGAAATCATCTGTGGAGCCAAAGGCAAGGCCTCGTTTACCTGACATTGTCAGGGAGTGACGCTTATTTTTTCAGATATGTTATTCATATCCAACCTTCCGGAACAAAATACTCTGAATGTAAATACATATTTTTTAATTGTCTCTAAATCATTATCATCCTTGCATAGTAAGCACTTGCATCCTTGCACAGTAATCATATTTGAGCATTCAATAATCAATACCTATAAACTGTGTGACCCTGGGCAAGTTATTAAATCTCTTCCATATCTTAGTTTTCTTATCTGTAAAATGGTATTGATACCCAACTCATAAGACTTTTTTTCAAGATTAAAAGGGTTATTACATACAAAATAGAACAGAGCCTGGCACACAGTATTTAGTATGTGTCAGCTATTATTATTCCATATTGTACACCGAAATTTCTAAACTATCAGTCCCATAACTAATGATGATAGCCCCTATAGGAAAGGGCCACCTATCAGAGCCAGGTGATTATGGAGGTACAGAAGCAGAATGTGGCTCCTTCCCCCAGATGGGGCTGCCAAAGCAGAGAGCAGAAGTGGCTATCAAGCAAACAGTCAGGCTGAGCCTTCCTTAGACCAGTATGAGAACATACGGACCTGCTCCTGCAACCCAGACACTGCAGAGATTCAAAACAGAGACTTGTGGGAAGAAGGCTTGATTTTCCTAATTCTAGAATCAAAGGGAAAACTAGACATAAAAAAGTAATTTTCTAGGAAAAATAAACAGCAAACACCATGTTAAAAGGTAAAACACCAGAGGAATTCAAATTACACTGAAAAAAAAGTACAACCCCTTTACGTTTAAATTGTCCTAAAGCTTTTGGTAATAAATTACAAAAACAAAACTAAAAGGTATAAATATTAGCTAAGGAAAAAATTATGACTTACAGATAAGACCAAACTATCTACTTAGAATGTGCAAAATAATTTAACAACAATGATGGCGGAGAAAAACCAATTCACAATAGCAACAAAATCTATAAACTACCAAAACAAACTTAAGATAAGCACAAGGCTGTATGAAGAAAATTGTAAAACTTTACAGAAGAGCATTAAAAAGTTGGAATACATGAAAACACGTATTATGTGTATACATAGGTAATCTCAATACAGTAAAAACATAAATTATCTCCAAATTAACCCAAAAACTTAAGAAAATTCTTATCACATCTTAAAAGCCTCATTAAAAATTTTGCAACTGGGCAAACAGACTAAAGTTCATCTGGAAGAACAAATGCACAAGAATAATCAAGAAAACTGAGAAAAGGAAAAATGCCAATCACATATTAAGTATACTACAAAGTTAGTATAAATATCACAGTGTGATACTGCCTTATGAAATACAAAAAAAGGCAGAAATGGAATAGACGTGAGAGTCCCCAAACAGGCTCACTAACATAAGGAGA